CGACAGGTCTAACAGCATGGCAATTTAACTCACCTGGATGTTTCACAGGGGAGGGGGATAGGGTGTTATAATTACAAAGCTGGCTGAATTGCTTTAAAAGTAATCCTTACATTTTCCGAGTGGCCATACTACAAATTTCCTTTTCAATTCTGCCTCATCAAAGAATAATTTTTCGCCAGTATAACATGTCAGATTTTATATTTCATAAAATGAAATTGAGTTTTGTTCAGTTCATAAAGCGCATTGTTACCTTTGGGTGTTGGGTAAATGTAACCCAATTTTTCGACATTCTGTGTCTTCATCTTCTGCATATGTCAGTAAGATATCTATCTGACCGTATGGGTTATGTTTACTGCTGCCGGCAGGTGTAAGTGGCATTTGATAATTAGTTCACCTTGAAGTAGCTCTAGGTGGTGAGATGGGCTATTCTGATAACAAACTTGACACCTTTCATAAGATAACAGTCTTGTTCAATCACCTTTTATCGCGTCATCTAGCCAGGAAAGGCATGCTCTGAAAGAGGACAAAGGACACAAATAGAGTCCACATGCATATTTATTCACATATCCAAGTCTTGTACAAAAAAGTAAAAAATAATAAAAATAAACTAGCACTACAAAGACAATAATAAATTAAATCAAAAACATTTATATCAGCACATATAAAATGAAAAAATCCACAAAATGGAAAAAACGTAGGATAGCAAGAAATCTATCGCGGGAAATATTTTTTCCAAACCCAGGTGAAGAAATCAACCAATTCTTAGTCCAATAGTCTTTGATGTTAGTTTTCATCGGACGCTCTTGTTCTCTCCTGAGTCGCATATCAGCAGCAGAAGGGTGTTGGTTAGAAATAAATTGAAAGTGTACCAGGCGTAACTGACTGGGTATTGTCTTGCTCAATAGCATCTGGGGACAGACCAGCTTTCCCTCTAAACCTGATATTAGCATCCTTTCTGTCAGTTATATCCTCACTTCACGCTTCTTGTTCAGGTGCGTCTACATGAACCTCACGTTCGATATCGTGTGAGAAAGAAGCGGCGTCCATTTCAGGCTCTGCATCAGAGTCATATATCTCCGACATACTGATCTAGCTAGCGGCATATTCTTCACTTTCTGTATCACTAAACATTTCTTCATCATAATCAGAGTTTTCAAGTTATTCTAAAACATTCTCCACTGCCATACGTCTCTTTCTACTGTGTTCCGCCATTTTGAATTCACCTGGTGACAGCATACATATCTTTTGAAGTCGTATGACGTAATGTCTTGTAGTCTAATAGCTCTTCAGTAATGCGTAAAGCTGACACGAACCGTGGAATCTTTGGATTCGCACATGTAATGAACCATTTTATATACTATGGAGTGAATGTCCTAAACTTATATAATTTTGTACGCTTAATTCAAACGTGGGCTCGAAATAGGACATTACGTTTTAAACTAACTTAGTGGATAACGCAATTCGAAGATTTCACGGTTCGTGTCAGATTTACGTACGGTGGCGCAAAGAAAACCCAAGTCCACATAATGACCAGTTAAATGATTTATTCGTTGACGCTGGGTAGCTACATATTCTAAGTGAAGTCTCCAACTCTTAACTCGTCTGCTCCGTACCCCATCGCTTCCAATCTCCTTCTTCGCTGCTTCCTTCTACATGTCTCCCTCTACGTGTCTCCCGGTATCGCTTATATACTTATTTCTTATCTACATGTATGGTCGATGACGCAGACTTAAACTACCTATAATTGTATAATTAATTTCTCTACCTCGGCGTCATACACAGAGATCTCCGCATTACTGAAGAGCTATTGGACTACAAGACATTACGTCATACGACCTCAAAAGATATGTATGTCGGCCACGACATATTGCAGTTTTAACAGGGTTTGATAAAATCACGATTTCTGGCGATAACAACCTCAAAGGAAGAACAATTATGACTGAACTGACAGACAACATACAACCATGTGCTTTTAAAGCGTCATTATTGAATATCAGTTATAACCGCATATATGCGGTAACCGGCCCTAGGGACCTTTAAGAAAGAACCGCACATGTGCCTTGTGGGGTTAACATTTAAAAGACTATATTTTCTTAATTCAATCGTATTCCTACAATTAGTGGCCATAGAAATAGAGCTATAACTATTGACTTTTTAAAAATGTATACGTCAAGTAGGTTTTATTGACGAAATCAGTTGTAATTAGTTATTTTGTGAGATACCCCCTATTCAGCAGTCACTGACTCAAACACCCTCAGGCCCAAGGCCGCTATCTAGGTCACCGCTAGTCAGGACCTATGGGGTTAAGCCATTTTATGTCTTTCAGCTCCTCATTGGTATTCAGCAATATGATAAGGTGTATTCAAGATTGTATGTAACACGTAACATACCATGGTGGTGCGTCTGGGAAAGTCTACAGCTCCTTAGGTTATGTAAAATAGTATGTGCAGGTCATTTTGTTTCTTATGGGGTTCGATATGATCTCATGTAAGGTCATGTAACATGTTACCTGCCGTCATGTTACATATAAATTATTTAAAAACGTCATATGTTATCTACAATAATTTATGAAAAAAGTTTAAATTCGGTACCTGTAAGAGATGATGGTCCGACACGTACCAGGTTGGAAGTATTTAGTCGGTAATCAGATCTGCTATGTATGCAGTGATTCTATCTATGAGGCTGATGGAATATATTATTCCAAAGTAAATAAACTATACATACTTAATTACCTCTCGGTATATAGAGACGTTTCCATGGCTAAAGGGGGTGGGGTGGGGTGCTGCAATCAACAGGTTTACAGAACAACACCATGGCAAACACAACGAGAGATAGTAGATATAGAAATCACGAGTCAAAATAGTATTGTGGATTTCTGTATATTTTTCTCTGTCAACAAACAAAGAAATGCACTTGGTGATAGTATTTTTCTAGAATATTTGCACGTAACCAGAGATTCTTATAATTTTTCTTGTATTCCGGCAAGCTAATCATATGAAATGTTTGTAAAAATGGGGAGATTGGATGAAATATTACTAACTTGAGTTGCCAACCCTCATTGAATAAACATGTCAAAATTTCTAGTGGTTTTCATTTGCCACATCTTAAGCTTATAACCTCTTAAATAAGATATGAGAAATGATTACTTAGTTACTTGAAAAGGGGGAACACCCATGTACAAAGAACGAAAAGTGTTTTTTTTTTGTCGCTAATTTCCCCAGTACAGATAAAAAATTCTCATGTTATTTGTATATCGGTAACGTCTTTATAATTACACCCTTGCATACCACTTAACACAAGAATAATTGTTGATTAATTCGCCATTGGGAGCGGGCTTATCTCATTGTGGTTACTGATAAAACGGTGTATTACGTGTAACACTCCATTACCGTGGAAGTGAAGCCTTTAGAATGGATACAGAATACCATAGAGAGCAGTCGATTCAAGGTTCATCAGAACCATGGCGGAATCCAAGTTTGTATTTAAAACCCTTTTACCAGCCCTTATATACTACTCAAAGAAAATGTGAAAGCACCCACCATCTAGATGCATTTTTTCTATAATTCTGATTATCTTTTGTGGTGAAATATTAGTACGCGTGAAAAAGGGAAAATGAACCCCCTTCCCCATTATTCACAATGTCATGCCCGAGTAAAAGTTAAGGCTTTTGTAACACAAATTAATCACAGAGCCGAAAGTTCAAGGTAATGTTAAATGGGAGTTTTTTTTTTTTATTTTATGTAATGGACCATATTGTCCCAAGTCAAACTGTAGTACAGTTCGCTAATGGTATGGTTCCTTTGGGGTTTGTATGGGACTATCAGTTTGGATGGTTCGCTCTTGTCCCATCGTCTCTTCGCCTTTCTACCTGCCTTTAGTTGTGGTATTCACGTCCTACAATACATTAGATAATTTTTTATAAGAGTTTTATGGCAGGTACATCTTATTTCTAGGGTTTGGTTCCGGCCTCGTTTACACAGCTACATCCGTATGCGTTGGTCAGTATTTCCACAAGAGAAGGTCAATGGCTCTTGGTATTACTACAGCAGGAATGGCCCTGGGTCAAATTGTTTGTCCACCTCTGTTCCAATTCCTCATAGACACATACACGTGGAGAGGTTCTGCTTTCATTGCGGCAGGGCTGTGTCTGAATAATTGCGTTTTTGGTACCATAATGAAACCGCTTAAGGGATTAAACATCGTGAAAGCGAAACCGCTGAGTTCCATTGATTCTCAGGTACAGAGGAAGAAATATAAGATTACTTCTCTTCAAAATGATAAACACCTCCATGAAAAGAAAAGAAACTTGACAAAAAAGGTACTCGGAATACAGGAGACTTCGTCAAGCGATCTTCTAGCTGATGTTTGTCGCGATAACATAAGTGAACAACCACGTCACCCGGACCCTCTAAAGAATGGGCAAAGGAAAAAAGCCAAAAAAGCGTCCTCGATATCCACCATCGCCACTGAAACATTGGACAGTGTGCAGACAAGTGCCTCTCAGTGTGCTATTACAAAGAGCCAACTAATTGGTAAAAGAAAAAAGGCAAAACCAAGCTACAAGAGACATTTTAGAGCAATGTTAGACGTAAGCCCTTTAAAGAACGGAGCTTTCATTTGTTTATGCATCGCGGTATTTTTCTGGGCTTCTGGCAGCCTCCTTTGCTCTGTGCATCTTATTAGTTACACGTTGCAACACGAGACCACCCCTCCGCAAGGCGCCATTTTGTTGTCAGTTATTGGCATGGGAAATTTTGTTAGTCGTCTGCTTGCCGGGGCTGCTACCAACGACAAAGAGCACGTGGACCAGGTTTCTTTGGGCGCTGGCGCCCTGGGGATCTCAGCGCTGTTGTCAATTATTTTGCCGTTATTCATACACAATTATTGGTCCCAAATACTGTTCGCTGCACTATATGGTGTTTATTCAACCATGTTTATACCTCTGTTGGCACCAATGACAGTAGAGACTGTTGGACTGTCGTCGCTGGGATTTGGGTTTGGGTATTTGATGGTAATGAGCGGTATCGGATGTGTAGTTGGCCCTACACTGGCTGGTAATTCCGATCCTATTTCTGTCTCTTTTCAGTATTAATGTAAAGAATTTGTTAACTTTCAAATTTCGCATTCGGTTGACCTTTTCCGTAGCCGATGTAAACGTACATTAAGTATTTAAGTTTATAAACGAAATCTTAAAGAATTATTTTCTGACTCGTTTACATTTTCTTCGTTGTAGGTTATCTATACGATGTCACCCAGGATTATTCGTATTCTTTTTACCTCGCAGGTAAGTGTGAATGTCAGCCATTTGCAAGCATTCTCATAATTGCCAAAAAATCAGAAAACAAATAATTATATAGACAGAGAAGTGATTTCACGAGGGTTTTGACCCCCACGTTTGAATGTTTGGAAACGCATGTTGAAGGTAAATAAAGACAGCTTAGTTGACAGTCCAGCCTGATAGCTCCCTCACACATGACGTCACGGCAAATAGCGCGTCACAAACCACGTGACCTTTCACTGACAGAGCCTAGACCCTAAAGAAAAGGACGCACTTCCAAAGTTAAATGTTTACTTTGCGGACAACTCAAGTGAAAAGTCTATTATGGACATCCACTGACTCAGATGCCGCAGTGGAAGATGGGAATTATTCAGTCAGATTGCCCAGTTGTAAAATTCAAATTAAAAAAAAAAATGGTTTTACAGTGAACCAAGTGTTGCTTTGTGTCCAGATTTTCTTTATATTTCAGGTATACTTTTTATGAGCGGGTCCTTCTCGATACTAGCCATTCCAGTTCTAAAAAGCAGACGACAGCAAACGCAAGAGAAACGAAATGCTGTGACGCCATTAGAATCTTCCCGCCAAGGAACCGCCTTTCCTTACAGTGAATCACATATGTAACGACGGCATTTTTATTTTTGATCAACTTGGGAAACTCAGACACAGATCCAGGAAATAATTATCACATGTATGTAATCCTCTTAGGTTTGATTATGGCATTATGGGTTTATAGTAGAACATCTGTGTAATGGTAGTAAGTGACAGCAGGCAGCGAATAAGAGCGGGGAGTGTTTAGTAGAGTAACTTTAGTTGATTGACATGCTCTTATGGTATTTATACAACTGCGCTTAGTGTAAACGGAGAGAAGGCCGCTTCAGATTGCATGAGGCAGAAATAGAAATGAAGGAAGCGGCGCGGGTAATAACTGGACAGTAGTTCAATAAATAATAAGAAAGATAATATCTGAGTTGTATTTGTTACCTCGCGTAACATGAAGAAGACAAGCCAATAACTTTGTCACAAATGGCGGAGGATGCAAAATATAAACATAGATGTTTGACAGCATGAGTCTTGTCCGAAAGAGAGAAAACGATCACCGGACGAAAATACGCAGGCGAACACAAAGTATCTAGATGGGAGATTGGAATTGGACAAACATAAAATGGAAGGTAAGACAATTGCTTTAAACGATTATTTTAGAAAATGCTTTTTGCGATATTTAGATGACTTTATGGTAGCCAGCCACAATTTCAAATGCTGCCTTAGTGAGGTAAACATAGTTTTACGAAGGCTGAGAAATGCAAACTTAGCATTATCTGAATAGTTTCATTGCGCGAGAAGAGGTCAGGTATTAAGGGTACATAGTTTCAGTAACCGATATTCGCGTTGACAAAGTGTAAGGCAGACAGTGCCAGAATTCCATGCCCATTTGAATGTAATCGAATTTCTAAAAGTAATGAATTATTGGTTATTGAATTTATCCCCTAAAAGATTTCAATTAGGCCCCTATTTCACACAGACCACGAATCCCTCGAATCGCCAGGAATTGACAAATTTCAGGATTCGTGAGGATTCGTGAGATTTTGCAAATTTTCTGGTCTAATTCGACACGCTCACGATTCAGTTACGATACAGGTACGATAGTGTTACGAATATTCGTGGGATTCGGCTGGAATCGTGAGATTTTGCCAATTTTCTGGTCCTATTCGACACGCTCTACGATTCAGTTACGACACAGGTGCGATAGTGTTACGAATATTCGTGGGATTCGGCTGGAATCGCACGAATATTGTCCAGAAATTCACTACGATTTTTTTGGAATCAGGAGTTCGTGGCCAGAACTTTGATCAGCTCAAAATTTTTGCCACGAATTCCCGATTGATCAAGAATTGCAAAAACTGACTACGATTATATACGAATCTGTTAAGAACTTCACGAACTGATTACGATTTAACCACGAATCGTGAAATTTGTCAATTCATGGCCATTCGTGGGATTCGTGGTCTGTGTGAAATAGGGACATTAAACAGAGTAAAGGTAAACACCTAGCGAATGCAGACGCGATTAGCCGTCGCCCTTACCATGAGGGAAACGTTGAAGAATAAGACTTAGAAAAAACAGAATGACCCTGCACAGTTTTTTAATGATGCATGTTTGAACAGAATACATATGTTAGACACTATCTCGAGAGGCGAGAGGGATAGGCTCCCCGAAGCTCTGTCGTGAACAGGCGGCAGTGGAGTCGCAAGGCTCTGGGGGCACATTAAAGACGTGTTATAGTGCTGTGGGAGAAGGCCCACTGTGTCTCAAATCCTGAATTAACAGGATACTGTGGTACCGTCTAGTCGGCTCAGTGTGAATAAGGGTTCACTGAGTGGTACGGGGACGACAGTCCTCACATAGCCACGCGATGTTGATGCGGTTCCAACACGGTGGTGAACAGGCAAGGCTGGTGAAAACGGTCAAAGTTCCGACAACCCATGGCAGTGGGACTGGGATCAGACCGTCGGTTGCTCCCTGGGAGCCTGGTAAGCTCTACGGGATTGGGTAATCGCCATCGACTGGGTCACCGGCCGGTTGGGTCGCAGAAGGCAGTAAGACTTTAGAAAAGCAGCCGCGCTCAGCTCATTGTACAGCCAGGCCCTAGCAAACTGAAAACGAATGAGCTAGTAAGTGAGCTAGTGGGAAAGGTACTCAGCCTAGATTGCGCCCCTGGCAAGGGGGGGGGGAGACTGAAGAGTATAAGCGAAATGTAAACATTATTCATCTTTTGATACGTCTTATGTTTATCAAGTAAATTCATTTCCGTTTACATTTTATGCATCTATTGACCTTAAGAATTTTACAGGTTGCGGAATGTTTGAAGAGATGCCAGCAGCTGAGATATCTCACTTCACTGTTAAAAATTCGTGACGTTAAGACGGAAAACTGCATTTAGAAATATTTTGTTGTTGACTTGAACAAAAATGTTGCACTAATCAATATTGATAAAATAGTTTTTTTTCCAGGTTAGCCAGGCAGCGAATGAATTTTTCGTTTTTCGTCTACCCTTGTAATTTTAATATCCATCATAACGAGTTTTTAATTTTCTTTTACAGGATACGACACTTAAATGGCATTCATGTTAATTTCAGGCAATACTAATTTTTATTGCACTTTGTTTCGGTTTAGGGCTCCTGGACTTACAGCCTGCGTAATTTCAGATGATGAATCATAATTCTTTTCATAAGAATACCCGTTCTGTTTCGCCCACAACCCCCTTGCAGTGACAAACATTGTCGATAGTGCGCATGCACCTTTGAAGGTGACAAGCAAATATTAAGATTATGACTAATCTACCTTATTGGAAGTCCCTTCACTAAAATTATGTTTTTCGGGTTGCGAAGAATAAAATTGGAGAATAGTTTCTCGATAAATTGCCTTAATTAAAGTCCTAATTATCACTGGCGATCTTCTTAAAATGATCTTGTCAGTTGATAATGTGGTTATATTGGCAATTAAAAGATCGAGTGAAACAAATGAGTTAATGAGTATAAATGATGCAAGGATAAATGGCCTTATGTGAATATTATTTGATATATTGTGAGGAATAAAATGATTAAGATGTGACAAATATCAATGCGGTTATGGATAACTGAATATGTGGAGTTGAGGTATAAAAATGTGCGCATGACGTCATATAAAAACTAAAATCTGGGACGCCAGATAAATATTATTATTTTTATTTTTATTATTAGCATAAGTTCTTGGACCAGTTTTGTTTCATTAACTTTGGGAATGAAACAGTCTTCGTCGTCAACGTAAATTTCCAATATGATTTTACATATTATCTGATTTAACAATCTTATTGTTCACGTTTGGTTTAAGGTTGTTTGAGAAAAGATAATGATTGCGTTTAACAATAGATTGCGGGCTATAGTAAGCCCCCCTCCTCTTTGAGCGATGTCTAAGACTGTTAATTCACCGTACTTTCATAAACATGTAGTGTGACCACACTGTCAGACATACCCTTGGTAGCACGTTGCAATCATTTTTGATGTCATTGAGGGTCTTTAAAGGTAAGCTTTCAAGTGACAAATACAGAACCGTGTGGTGATTATTTATTAAAGCGTAGGTTTATTCATCATGATCTATTTTGTAAACAATACTTGCCTAGATTTTACTTGGATTGATCATCGTCACTGTTTGGCTACTCGCCTATAATGCGTGCTGAACGACAAACAACTTATGAATTTTATCTGTGTTACTGTGTAAATGACCACGTTAAGTTAAAATATAACGATGTCGGTGATTTAATCCATCCAACATATTTATATTTGTTCTTTTAAAACCAGTGTCAGGTTAACACCAAGTCAAAGCAAGCCTTGCAGACTGATTTTGTTTAAATTGTCGTAAATTAAGTAAAGCTAAGTAAAGCCTGTTTCTAGTTCATCCAAGCTATAAAACTGCATGAAGGATAACAAGACTCTGTAGCCAATTAACTTTCACAATGCCCTGTGCTTTAGAGTCCCATGCAATACAATGAAATGAGTATGGCCTGAGAGAAATATAAATATGAGGCCGTGTATGAAAGATGTTTAAAAATAATAAAAATCAAGAATTTAAACATGTTAGGTAAATGCACATCACTTAATAAGTCATTTCACAAAAATCGCATCTAATTTTTCAGATTAACCTCCACTTTTATCGATCTCAACGCCTTGTCTGATGTTTACATGTAGGCGAAGGAGGTATACTCCAATATTAATTGCGAACAATATCAACAGCGACTCAAGATCGTTGCCTGTCTTTCACACTTTTACACAAACTCATGAAGGGTTAATAAAAGGTTTCGCGTCGCGACATCTATCTCTTTCCTTCGAACAAGCAAAGGGCTGACCCGAAGTAAGCTTTCAAAACTAATTTCTGTTTGACTGCAGGGGTGTATTGTAATTACTCCACTTGGTTGCCTCCAATGTCTTGTAAAAGTGACAAAGAATGTGTTTTCCCACGCGAGTTTACATAACTCCTTTGCCTTGTGTCTTTATCAAGGTTATACCCGCAAGAAAACGCAGTAGATACTCCAGCACAGTAGACTACTGCAATCATACTGCAAACCGCAGTAGACTACTGTAATCATACTGCAAACATGCTTCAAATCTGCTTCGATTTGGGAGCTAATTAGCATATTTGAAACATGCTTCTATCATGCTGCTAATCTACTGCATTAATGCTCCTCTCTGTACAAACCTATGTACTTTTTGGAGTAGAATTGCAGTAGGCTATGCTGCATTTCTATTGCAAATATGCTCCACACCACTACTGCGATTCTACTGCTTTTTGCTACTTCGATACTACTGCATTTTCGTGCGGGTTATCAGTTTGAATAGGTTGTCTTGCCTCACTTAAAAATGGAGTTGTTCTTCATACTGGTTGTTGCCTAACCTATGCTAACCTACTTTGTACAAATATGGTTTTAATAAATCGCCAAAAATATGACACTACTGAACATTGTGTATCAAACGTTTTGATACGATTAAATAAATGTGCAAGAAGGATTACGGAATGAGTTACTATTTACCTCTGGCGCTAACTTCGCCCTGCTACATAAATAAACAAATGTTGCAGATCGTAACAAAAAATCTTTATTGTAGTGTTTTTATGACATATGATTTACATATTTGATAG